ACTGGGGTAGCAACAGCAAAGATGTCCTCCTCTTATCTAGGACTATCTCTCAAATAACTGTTTCTTTTTTTCTGGGATCAAATGTTTTACTTCCCTGAAAGACCATCTGTCAACTACAGCCAGGATTTCTTGAGAGGCCCATGAGGTGCCCCAATCCGGCCTGTCTGTGAACATTCAACACTTTGGCACACACTGTGCTCTAATATTATCAGGGATATGCACACTATTGCCTCTGAGGCATTTGGCACTTCTTTGAGAGGGTGACACATAGGAAATATAACCAATTGATTTGTTACTTTGCTTTTAGTTTCTTGAGACAGGTTCTCTCTCCATAACCCTGCATGTTCAAGAACTAACTATGTTGATCAGGCTAGCCTTGAATTCATAAACATCAGCCTGCCTCTACCTCTAACACTATCTCTGCCTCTGCCTATAGCTCTGCCTCTGCAATTAACCTGGCCCTCACCCTGGCCCTGGCCCTAACTCAAGAGTGTTGAGACGAAAAGAACAATCCCACAAACAAATACAATCAAGTTTCTTTCTAACTATGTGCATATCCAGGATTCCCAGCATGACTGGATGAAGAGGTCATGTGGAAGCCAAGGTGCATTTTTCTTATCTACTAAAAATCTGAATATCTGAATATCTGTAGCTATGGCAGAGATCCTAAGAATGTCATCCAACTGTTGTAGGGGCCTAAGTGCAGAGGTGCACTGAAAGGTGCACATCCAACTTACCAGGTACTGACTACTTCCTTGACTCTTTTTCAGTGGTGCAAACGGAGACTTCTCTGGGAATCACACCTCAAGCCAGAGACTCCATCAGCTGCAGAATGGAACTCTGCTACTCCTACACCCTGGATTACCAGATGAGGACACCACCTGTTAATGGGCACAAGTCATAAACTACCCTCAACCACAACCTTCAGAATTCCTGGCATTGCCACAAGCTCCATGCCTGGAACAAACAGAGAATGACAACCTGCATGAGATTATATCCACCAACTTATTGGTGTTTCCTGTGGAAGCAATACTTGGAAGCCCCCTACTTTCAGTTAACCCTCCATTTCTATTCTCTAGCATCAAGAAAGACCATTTTCCAATGGGCCTGGTGTTCAAATTCAAGTAATGTCTGGAATGACAAGTCAAGTTTTCATGAACCTCCATGGCTCCTTCTACTATGTACAGTTAAGATTCACAGCCACAGACCTGTCTGTCACTGAATTAATCTGTTCAATTACTTTCAAAGTTCTCTATCCATCTGATCATCCATAACAATGGGATGTTCATTTGATTTTGGAATAGAAAGCCATGCTACACTCTTCTACCTGACTGCTCTATCTCTCTATTCCACTGGGCTCCTACTGGCAGGTAAATCCCTGAGCTTTGGATGGACTGCTTTGTGCATGATACATTTCTGAGTACCAGCCGGCCATCTAACCACAACAGCAGCCACTGAGTCTCAGCAGCCTAAACAATGACAGCTCTCCCCAACAGCAACAGAAACAATGCCATAGGAAGACCAACAAAGAGTCAGACTGTAACAGTTATAGCTGCACCTGAAACTACATTAATCTCCTGGAAACCACAAAGCTTTAGAAGGGAAACATAGAGACCCAATCATTCCAGTCAACAAAACAATAGCAGTTGTCTTCTCTCTAGACCTGGAACTCCTCCATCACTGGAGATTTTGTGGTGGGTTGCAGTACAAAATA